GGTGGGGGGGGGAGTGCTGAAGTGATATTGTGGGGGTGGGGTGGAGGAGAAGGGTGACTGGAGGGTAACAGGAGGGGATACGCGCCACCCTCATCTCTTGCCACGAGAATGAGTGCTGGATTCGAAGTCTGGGCAGGCGTTTTGCATGCAGCCCAGGGGCTGCAGGGCTGCCCAGGCCCCCGTTGAGGGGTGTGCGCGCGCGCACCTGCGCCATATCAACCAGCACGCTGGCGCGCTGGAAGCGCGCCAGGGGGTTGCGCGCGTCGATGCGGATCGCCTCCTGCAGTACGGGTGTGCGGGGCTCTTGGGCTTTTCATGCTGGCTTGGAGCGACAGGGCATCCGGCCTAGGGCTCGGTCCAGCCGTGAGATAAAGGCGGTGCTGGGTTTGAAGCGCCACGGGGTGGCCTGGAGGGTGCGACGTCCAGCTGACCATGGCCCAGGCAATTGGTTTTGGCCCCGTGGGCGCCCGCGCCCCCCTCCCCCTGACCTGCAGGTGCGTGAGGGCCTGCTGGAGGCTGCCCATGCGGTGGGCCGCGACGCCGCAGTAGCACGCCAGGACGCTGGACGACGGGTTGATGCGCGCGGCAGCCTGAAAGGGGGTGGGGGCCGGAGGTAACCGGGTTGGTGAGCGAGAAACCGGCCACAGGACTAGGGTAGGGTGAGGGGCCGAGAGCGTGCAACAAGCCGTGCGAGGGAGGCAGAGGTCGGTGGTGCCCCGGGAACCGCCTCCTGGCATGCATGCAGGTGCAGGCGGTGCAAAGCACGGGGTCGGTCCCGGCCTCAAACGGCCGCTCCCCTGCACGTCCACTCGCTGCTCGCGCGCCACAGGGGCACCCGCCCTGCCACCCTCCCTGCTGGGGCCCCAGGCCCCTCTTGCCTGGAAGTGTGCGAGGGCCTCCCCATACTTCTCCTCACGCAGGAAGATCTGGCCGATGCCGTAGCTGCCGTGTGCATGTGAGTGTGCATGTGAGTGTGTGTGTGTGTGTGTGTGTGTGTGTGTGTGTGTGCGCGCGCGCGCGCGCGCGCGCGTGTACGTGAGTGTGCATGCGAGCGCGATCATGTGCCGGTGCGCTATGTGCACGTCTAGCATTGCGCGAGCCCCCGCTGGGCGCAATTCTTGCGCAGATTGTCCGCTGATGCAAAAGCGGACGCCTGCAAGCCGCGGCCGTCCTCTCGCGGACCCCCCGCCCCCTGGCCCCCTCCAGAGGGCCTCACAGCGCGTTGTAGTGGCGGCCGTCCATACGCAGCGCGTTGCGGTAGGCCGTCATGGCCGCAGACAGGTCCTCTCCCGCCAGGTACTCGTGGCCTGTGAGGGAGGGGGGCGGGGATTGCAATTGTGGTGAGCATGGAGAGGGAGGGGCTTCGGGAAGAGGCATCGCAAGGGTGAGTCAAGGGCAGGGGCATGGACGCTCTCAACGCCGCATCGGCGCGGAGTCGTGGGCTTGCATTGGGCAAGCAGGGCGTCGGACCCTCACAGGGCACCCACAAGGCGCTGCAGGCCTGACCCTTGCGGCTCGGCGCCAGGGGCGCGCGCGGCCGCAACCCACCCCCTCCCCCCCGCGTCCCCACCGGCCAGCGTCGCCGCATATGCAAAGGCCGGGTCCAGCTGCATGGCGCGCTGGAAGAAGGCCACTGCGGCCGTGTGGTCGCGCTGGAGGCTGAAGCAGTTGCCCACGACACACCTGGTGCGGGGGCAGGGGGCCAGGGAGGGAGCCCGCCACGCGTGATTGCAGCGACCGCGGGGTACTCTCACGGAGGCAGGACAGAGCCTGGGGTGCGGTCCGCGCGCTCAGCGCACGGCGTGGGCGCAGACGCAGCCGGAGGGGATGGTCGCTGCAGTGGCGGAGGGCAGGGGCGAGCCGCGCTGCCGCGCGTGCTTGCTCTCCATGCAAGCCAGCATGGCTACGAGGGCAGGGCACGCGCAGACGGCCAGCCCCGGCGAGCCTAGTTGTGCTGTCGCCAGGCCGCAGTCTCGTGGCGGCCGCGCCGGCCGGCGCCTCCCCCCCTGCCCCGCACCACGTCTGTGGCGCCAGCCTGTCTATGGCGAGCGCCTCCTGCGCCAGGTGCGCCAGCTCTGTCTCGCGGCGCAGGTGCCACAGCACAGTGGAGTAGAGCTCCAGGCCCTGAGGGGGGGCGCACCCGCATGGCGGAGAGGGTGCGCAGCCATGGTTGCGGGAGCAGTGGGAGCGAAGGGGCAGGAGGCTGCAAGGGTAGACGCGCAGTGCAGGCTGTGAGACCGGGGCCGGGGCCGTGGAAAGAACATGGCGTGTTGCAGGGGACGGACGGTTTGGAGCGCGGCCAGGGTGGCCGCTGCTGGACTGTATCTGCAGGGGGTGACACCACTGGACCAGGGCGGCTGGCGGCATGTTTCACCAGCGAGCTCGCAGCACGGGCGCCCTGCGGCCGCGGTCGCGGCTGCAGGGGGCGTAAAATGGGACGGCGCGGCAGGGCGCGCCACAGCAGCGGGAGTGCGCACAGGGCAGGGCAGGCAGGGCAGGGCAGGGCAGGGCAGGGCAGGGCGCGGCATGGCATGGCAGAGAAGCGGGCGCGTGCGTCCTCCCACCTCAACGCGGTGCGGGTCTGCCCTCCGCGCCGCCTGGAAGGAGGCCGCGGCCGCCGCATAGTCCACCGCCTCAGCACTGGGTGAGAGGAAAGGGGAACGGGGCCGGCGGGTGATGTGCAGTATGGCGGTGTCGTTAGGGCGTGCAGGAGCGGTGTGCGTGTTTGAGTGGGCACACCGGGGAGGCGCAGTGGTGCACGCCGCTGGCCATGTAGCGTGGGCGCCACACCGGCAGCAGGGCCTGGGGGGCAGCGCATGAGGTGTAGGTGTGCGAGGCGCTCGGCCCCCATTCCCGCCAGCCCGCCCATTATCGCCCTGCACAACCCGCTGTAACAGGCCGCCGCCGCAGCCCTGCCGCAAAGGCCGCGCCCACCTGGCGCGGCCCTCCAGGAACAGCGCCTCTGCGGTGGAGGCCTGCTCCTGCGGCAGGCCGCGCAGCGCCTCCAGCGCGCCGCGCGCGTCGTGGCGCGACAGCCGCTCCAGCGCGCGGCGCAGGGGGCCCATCACGAGGGATACCTGGTCAGTAAGGGCGCGACGAGGTCAGAAGCGACGACAAGGAGTGCGGGGGGCAGGGGCCAAGGCCTGCAACACGTCATTATTAGGCGGCCAGGCGCCCGCGGTTGCTTCGAGGCACGACTTGTTTCTCAAACATGCCGCGGCCTTGCAGGCGGCCGCTGCAATTTGCCCCATCATCCTGGTGCGGGGCGTCACCTGGCCGAGCGCAGCCTCACAGGGCACCGGCGTAGCCACCGCCGGCGCCCCGCAGCCGCCCAGCGCCCCGGCCGCGCCTGCCGCGACCGCGCCCGCCATCTGCGCGGCGTTGAAGAACAG